AAGATCCTATATGCTCCAAACATGTGTGTCAGTGCAGGCTCCATATATGAAAAGATTCAAAATGCAACTTTTTGAAACTTATGTTTACCAAAGTGCGCGACTGTACTAATACATGCACAGATACAGTATGGAAGAATTCCCAACCTTTTACAGAGATCTGCTGACAGAGTATGACAGCTGTCAATGTCAGTGGATTTCTTCAGGCAGAAAACATGCAGATTTGCACTTGAAAAGAAACAGTTACCATATATATATATGTAGATATTTTTTTGTTTTGCTTTGTAAATTTGTGAAGCAATTTAAATGAATTTCAAAAGTGTTTCAGTTTTGACTTGGATAGCATGGAACAGTATTCATATGCCTTTGTTGCTGCATTTTCTTTTCTTTTTCGTAAACATAGTAGGTTCTTTTTTCTATGCCTGAAAAGAAGGCACAGCAACATTAGTCCAGACTCAGTATCTATAGCTGCTATTTTCCTAACTTATAAAAACCTTTTTTTATACGTGGTCTAGAATCCAGGTGTCCTTTGGGTACATTTATAGAGATTATGGAGCCAAAGTAGAGTGACAGTATGTCAAAAGTGGTCAGGGTGAGAGAAGGTTGGGAAGTCTAACAGTCCTGGGTCAAACCAAAGCACACTGGACAATGCCATGGAGTCAAAAACAGGATTGTTAGGTGCAAGTCCAACCATCCAGTTGTAGTTGGTACAAATGGGTAGGACAGAATCATAGCTGTCAGTGTGTGTCATGGATTGTAGCACATCTAGGACCCTTGTGCCTAAGTCAGCATGTAGAAGAGAGTTGAAGATCTTGCTGGATTGGCAGGTAGAATTAGGACAAGGTCAAAACTAACTGGGTTAAAGATAACGTCAATTTAAAACATCAGACAGAATCACTCCTGTGTAAGTCTGATGCCCTATTGTAGGACAATGAATCAATCAGGCTGAAAAGAACTATGCTAGCTGCTGAAATATAAGATTAGATAAGATTTGGATACCCCTCATTAAGTAACCACAAGAGGCTTGTGGTTTTTCCAACTTTCTTGGGACTTATCCCTTAAAACCCTACTATCATCATATATATATATATATATAAATATATATATACAAAATATAAGAACACCACACAACAATACATTTGCATCAAATTACTTCTATATTTAGTGTGAAGAAAATATATATCAACATATATATAGTACATATATTTTTATGCCCAACAACTTGCCATATAGTCATAGAGTAGTGCTTAAAGTATCTGTGGTAAATATCCTGCTGATCCAGGAAATCATAAAGCTCCAAAATGCCAGTGATCACATAGCTACAATTACTCCCTGTCATTCGTCACAAACGGATTACTGAAACTACAGGCATGCCACCCATCAGTAGAGCATTATGTGACATCCAGAAAAGAAGAATAGAAGGCAAACTTACAACACTAGCATGGATATGCTTATTCGGTTTAACTAGGTTAGGCACAAAACGGGAAGCCCTTTCATTCTCAAGCATATTTGCAGGGTCCCCAAGTATCTACTCCGCCTTGCACTACTACAAATAAAAAAAACATAATGTTTACTGTGAGGAACATAGTAATGCAATCTCCTACTTTTAAAATTTAGGTTTACATTCACTTTTAGAACAATTGAATACACCTTCAATACAGTGGATATGCCATATACATATTATATACTGTATCCACAAGAGGAATATACCTTTTAGGAAAGGGGTTCTAATACCCAAAATGTTGTTACTGTATTCCACCTCACTTCAGCATTGGATTTGTTCTTCTTTTTGTGTTCTACACTATGCATCTTCACTTATTTTACTACCAATCATAATATATACATGTCAGATGGGCCTATTTGCAGCATATTTTATTGTTGTGGGGTGTGCTTACTCTTTGTATTCATATTACACTTGCTGGAATGTAATCAGTGTTTTCTTCACATGCATATATGCCTTGGCAGTGAAGCTACTGATGTTCCAGCAAAAAGTGTTACTAGGCAGTTAGGTCTAATCAACAGTGAACTAATCAAGGTACTATACAATCCATTGCACAATCTTTCATGAATGCACATTTTACACGCCACTTTTCCTTAAAAGGAACATCTTTACATTTTTGTAATAAAAGGTTATAAAGGACACAAAGATTCAGAAGTGCCAGTTTTGGTTAATCAAAACACTTTGGGGTTGATTTACAAAAAGTGGAGAGTGCAAAATCTGGTGCAGCTGTGCATGGTATCTACATACTGTGTAAAACCTATTTATCAGCTATGTAAAAAGCAATAAATCAGCCAAAGAAGCATTGTACTTTGCAAAGTCAACTTCTACACAAATATGGACTGAAGTGCTAAAAATGCTCCTTAGCTCCCTTTTGTGCCACCTCAGAACTGGTGCACCTCTATATACACCCAATTTCGGAACTGATTTTTCTAAGATGTGGCCCTACCACTGATTTTTTAAAAAGAGGCTCTACATCACAGGTGTCTAACTGGCGGCCCTCCAGCTGTTGCAAAACTACAAGTCCCATGAGGCATTGCAAGATTGACAGTTACAAGCATGACTCCCAAAGGCAGAGGCATGATGGGACTTGTAGTTTCGCAACAGCTGGAGGGCCGCCAGCTTGACACCCCTGCTCTACATCATGACATGCATTTTCTGAATGGGCCACAAGATGCAGGCTGCGGTATGCAGTAACTTGGCAGATTATAATGTAGAGAGGATGGTGATATCCCCTCTCTATTATAAATGAGCCTCTAAGTGTACTATAAAGCCTTGTAAAAGACGTAACAAAGAACATAGAGAAATAACATAAAGAGAATGCCATAGGGAGAAAAAAACTCATGGTTGGTAAGGATGAATGTGTACAGTTTGTTATATATGTTTAATTTGACTTGACATCAAGTAACAAATAGTTAAACCTGAGACTTCCTGATGATAATTTCTGGTGTAGCAGCAGGAAAATTATTTACGCCTACATTGTTTTTTTCCAGTTGTTTTGCTAATTCTAGGACACCTCAAATGCAAACAAAGATATCTGCTGTTTTATGGCTTAGCCAGTTTCTTATATTTCTCCCGTGAAATGATATGTTTTCTTCTTTCTCTCTGGGACTAGTAAAAAAATACTGATCTGAAGATTTTGGCTACGGCAAGTGGAAAGTTCTTAATGTCCAATCTCCATGAATCCAAGGAAATCTTACCAAATGCAACAACATTCTCTTTCTGTCTTTCACAGCCATACCTAAGTTACTGAGCTTTCAATGGGCCAAATGTAAACAGTAGTGTCAGCTAATTGAAAGACCTGGCGCCAAGAGAATAACATTAGGCAGAATAAAGAATTAAGGCCTGAAATAGAACTTTAGAATCTGTAATTGCATTGCTCACTTTATCAACCTGGACCCACGAGTTATTATACCAATCACAGTCAAAGAAGGAAAAGAGCCTCAGATGTGATATAGAGTCTTCTATTTAACCAAACGCCCCATTAAGAACATAAAGAAAACATTTTGTAGAAATGATATTACAATTACATGAACTATTTTATAATTGAATGTGTTATATGGTTTATGTACAGTCTCAGAAACAAGTATGATGTACTATGCTTTCAAGAGGAAATGGCCCACTTTGCTTTGATTCTTGAGTTGCTTTAAATTTGGTTGCTTTAGGCTGCTTCTGAGTTACTTTTGCATTTAAATGTACTTGTATCTGGAGGTAAAGCAATTCAGATGTAATGAAATTGAGGATTAGAGGAACTACAGTGAACTTGGTGTAGAGTTATTCACCCTTAGGTCATCACAGAGGACAAGGGGGCACTCTTTACGTCTGGAGGAAAAGAGATTTAATCTCATATGGAAAGGTTTCTTCACAGTAAGAGCTGAGAAAATGTGGAATAGACTCCCTGAATCCACTCAGTGGATTGCTTTAAAAAAAGGCCTGGATTCTTTCCTAGATACATATAATATAACTGGATACTAACATTTATAGGTAAAGTTGATCCAGGGAATATCCTGTTGCCTCTCAGGGGATCAGGAAGGAATTCTTTCCCCTGCAGGAGCAAATTGGACCATGCTTTGCTGGGTTTTTGGCCTTCCTCTGGATCAACTGTGGATATAGGATTATAACTTTTTTTTTTGTTGAACTGGATGGAATTTAGTTTTTTCAGCCAGACTAACTATGTAACTATGAAATGTCCATGTACATGTGTACAAAATGATCAAAATATTACAAGGTCCCATCTGGCTTTCAATTGAAGATAAGAGGACAGTTTGCATCTGGGACATGTTGGCCGTGGCATAGCTGAGGCCTGTAGCCGCACACGAATGCGCAGGTGCGGGCCTTGGCGCTGGCGTCGTGCGTTGGCGTTCACATATGCAAACACATATGCACGTGCGCACACGGAAATGCGCACTGGCTAATTCTGGCCCCTTTGGGCCTATATAGGTGCATCAGCTGCACTAGTGAATTGCTGTCTGATCTGCAGCTCTCCCTGTGTTCCTATGTCCGTTCCTGTATTGATATCCCTGATTGACCTGGCTTATCCTGACCTTGCTTGAATGCTGCCTGCACTGACCTCAACTTGCTTCTTGGATTCTGTCTCTGCCTATGGTATCTGCCTGATCTGCCTCTCTGCTATTGACATTGGCCTGTGACCTGACCCTTCTTCTGCCTGCCGTTTATGCTTACCTGCCTGCCTGTTACCGACCTGGCCCATCTGATCCTGCAACCAGCTTCACCTGCTACCAGCCTGCTCCACTGTGTCATCTGCCTGCTGTCAGCCTGCCTGCTACCAACCTGCTCCGCAGTGACGTCTGCCTATAGCTCGCTACTTTACTCCTGGCATCCACTCAGCAAGTTGTCAGCTATTCTTCTGCAGACTACTGGACTGATCAGGCTCTCATACCCCACTGTGCTCTCATGGTTGCTGTTCCACCTTCAGTGGCCCTTGAGCCGGAGCTGTACGAGAGGCCTTCTTCTACATGTCAGGCTCCCAAACGAGGTACAGTTTGGAACCAGGGGCGGACTGACCATTTGGAAACTCGGGCACTGCCCGAGGGCCCAGGGTCAGTAGGGGGCCCCATGAGATGCCCCTGGTACCTTTTTCATAGGTTTTTTTTTGAGTTTGGGCAAGGACACAGGGGCCCCATGATCCCCCATTGCCCGGGGGCCTCATGTGTTGTTAGTCCGCTCCTGTTTGGAACTGTTTATTAAATGGGAATGTACTGCTGACAATCAGCAACCTGATGTGGTCAGCTAAACGCTGCTACTGGCAGCCCTGCTGCCCTAGGCCATGATCTATGCTGGCTATCCTGAAATCTGTCCCTGGATATTTCATCATGGCACTGGTTTATTGATGATTTTTTTGGACTGGGGACTGAACTTAGTTCAGGAAATAGTTATTCAATTAAATGGCAACCTTAAAATTACTTTTAGCTATAATCTTTAAATTGTCTCATTTTTGGTTATTTAAATTCACAAGGATTAGAATAAGGTATTGCTAGAGTAGATTTATATTATAAACGAACAGCCATAAATTTGAATTTACATGCTAGGCACTCACACCCTCAGGCCCAATTCACTCCTTATATGGAAGGTACATTTTGTAGGAAACCACACCCGAGAGAAAGCAAGCCACACATTTTTGGATTTCATTCTTTAGGTAGCATTGGGGAATGCCTCTTAAGGCAAACATTTTCTATCACAAATGAGTCAAGAAATGAAACATCTCTTTTTGGATATTAAATATTAGGAGACAGATATAATCAAATCAGTTATAATAAAAAGAAACCTGCTAAAGTGATTATTTTATACAGACAGAGTTACTGCTGGTGAGGTAAATTCTTTTTTCTTGATTAAGTACACTCAAATGTATGAGGGGGACACTTTAGGAAGCTGTAATGTATTTCAGAAGATATTTTGAATAAAACCAAGGTTTGAATTAAATAGGTGTATATCTATAAAGCAATGCACATGAAATTAGCCATACATTCACATGTGGTTAATCATTCTGTGTATAGTGAATATTTGAGTAGTTCTAAAGGCTCAATGTTCTTTACCTTCATGTTTTCTATACATGAAGGTAAAAAACCTGTGTGCAGTGATCTCTCCAACCCCCAATCCTTACCTGAGCCCCCTTTGATCCAGCGACGTTCTCGACAGCCTCTGCGGTCTGGGAACCCTTCTTCCTCATTGGCTGAGTCAGCAGCGGGAGCCCATTGGCCAGTGATCCTGGTATGGAGAGATGCTGAATTTGAGTGGCCATTTGTTTGTGTAGTCAGATAAGGCTGGGTGAGAGAAGTCAAATAAGATATAGTTGGGAGATGACTCAGGTTGGAGGGTAAGTATGTCGAAGGATGTTATTGAATGGAGTAGAATTGTCTGATAGGTTGGCCTATGTATGATGAAGATGCAGGGTTATGCATCATTTTATCTCAGACTTTAAGAATTAGTCTTGTTATGAATGTAACGCCTGATACACACTATAAGAAAATCGGGTGAATGATTGTCTGGTTTTCCTTGATGATTCACAGCAAGTCGAACCCAAGGATGGGACTAATTGTATAGAAATTCTCGAACAACAAAGGCTTTTTTTTTTTTATGTTTGATGTAGAAACATGTAGCCTAGATTATTATTGTTTATTAATTTCTGATCATTCGCAGTCTATCATATCTGATTTTTCTTGTACAGAAACAGTACACATTAAACAAAAAAATCGTAGTTCAGTTCACATACAAAAAAAATTTTGGAGTTTGTCCCTTTGGAAATTTTCATTTGGAAAGTCTAAATTGGATGTCGAAAGTTGTGTACACACTATACGAAAATCAAATGGTCGGTCCTCGTACAGAACCTTTCTTCTGATTTTCTCATAGTGTGTACCCAACTTAAGAGGGAGCATATGAACTTTTAACCTTGGCTTTGTAAGGTCTGAAGATCTGCTGATCAAAACTGTTGAATTGGCATTTTGTGGTGGCTAAGCACGGTCTCAACTATATGGATGATAGCATGAAGAAGTTAAGAATAGTTAACCCTTTGTAATGTGCTGTATATTATTGGTGTAATTAGAACAGGTTTTGTATATTGTCAAAGACATACAACGATCCATTCTTTCTAGTTGTACCTAGATGATATGTCCTAGTTTAATTGTTTTAATGAATGCTTTTTATTATTATTTTCAGATGGTATATTTGGTTTGTTTCCGCACAGTAAGAACTGGCTAAAATTTGAGATCCTGGCTTGACTTCAGTATTTGGCTTTTCACTTGACAGAACAAGCCTAATCAAAGTAAGTAATTTCAATGGCCATTATATTTCATAACTTCCAACATGAAAGTCTAGGAATAAAAGCTACATGACAGTTATAGCACAGACCTGTGGCATATACAGTGATTACAGTATGAACTTTCAAGAACATCTAGAAATTAAAGTAGATTTGTTTTTATTTATTTAAAACAGAGCTAAACTATCCTATCATTTGCAGCCAACAAAGCTACTATCTTAACCACTGTTTGATCTTCAACTGCCATGATGCTGCACATGTGACCAGTTATGACACAGCCATTTGGTTGAGAGCACGAGCAAATGTGACAGTCAAATTGCCGGCACGTGTGGGGAATGTAACTGTTTCTGGAAGCTGTTAAATCCAATGGGTTTAGCTACACTTTAAAGAACACTTACTTAGAACCTTAGTCAGAAAATGAAGTCTTGCTAGATCACTTCAGGCTGGCCCCTTTTGAAGGTATAGCTATGTAGAACATTAAAAATAAGTGCCTATGCTGTTTAAATTCCAGTAATATACTGTCTCACCCTGATCTGCACATGCTCAATTGCTATCCATTTTTAGGCATTTTTTAGACACTGTGCTGAATTTTGAGAGGTCAGTCTGCTGACAATCTAAAGAATAAAGCAGAACTAAACCTATCGATTTCAAAAAACAATTACATTCACGGCATGCCAAGAATGCTAACTGTCACATTTGTGTTCTTAACCAAACTGTCAAATAATTGGTGTTATAAGTGATCATATGTACAGCACCATGGCAGTTGCAGATCAAACAGATGGCAGCTTCCATAGCTGAAAAGGATAGGAGGGTTTGGTTCTGCTTTAACTGCTGCTCGAGGCTCTGGGCTTCAACAGAATGGCAGCCTCCAGCAAGAAGAAACAGGGACAATGCAGGAGGCAATTTACAGCACACACTCATTTTGGTTACATAATTATTATTGTGGAATGTATGTTCCCTGCTAAATAATATTATTTGTTATCAATTGTTATGAGTAAAGTTCCATTTTATGGTCGTATTTACACCATGGTGGTGAGTTTTTCTGCATGTGTTCTGCAAAGGTACTAAGAAAACAATTGTTATATATGGGTCCTGTTCACAACACTAGTATCACGTGTGGATTTGTCCTGCCCAGGGATCTGCAACGTGTATAAAATTCATTGAGGCCTCGTTCACACCATACGTGCAGAAAACTGATGGAAAGTGACATGCACATTCACTTGCAGAGACATCATTTTACATCAGTTTTCATGCACACTACAATGAGTTTTATACATGTTGCAGATTCCTGCACAGAAAAAATCTGCACGTGATACTAGTGTTGTGATGTAAACATTGCACAGAGAACAACTGATTTTGTTGTGCCCTTGCAGAAATACTGACATCTCTGCACCATGGTGTGAACAAGCCCTGAAACACTCATGAAAACTAATCTAAAATCATGTCTCTGCAAGTGAAATCTGCACATTTTTTCCATCAGTTTTTCTGCATTTGTGGTGTGAACGAGGCCTAAATAGTAAAAAATAATTTCCCAGTTCAGTTAGTGTAATGCTCAGAAATCTTCCTTTATGTGAAGCTGCTACAAGCCAGCTAAAAGTTTTGCTCATTTTGAATAGAATAAATCTGGTGGTAACTCTGGTGTCTCCCAGCAATCCAAACATACTGTAACGGTTAGTGACTCCATGCTCTTCCACAACTGCAGCTCTTTACAAATGTCATATAGAAAATAAACTTAAAGGATAAGTTCACCTTTCCACTAAAAATAATAAGTGAACAATTTTTTGCAGGTAAAAAATTTGCATTTTTTTTGTGTTAGGAACCTGTAAAACATTGCACCAGTAATCAGCAGATCACTGATTCCATGCAGGTCTCCTGCACTCTGTCCGTGTATCGGCTTGGTCATATATTCCATACGGGCAAGCCGATACATTCTGACAGGGAGACTCAATGAACTACCATTCATTCATTCACAGTGGACTGTGAATGAATGACATGGCCATTCGGGGGGCCATGCACAGCCGTGCTGTTTTTGAAAAGTGCCAGCTAGTTCTGGCACGGAAGAGGGGCAGCAGGCAGCAGCTGCAGGATCTGGAACATGTTCCATCCTAAAAACAGGTGGAACATGTAACACGTTCCCAAAGGTAAACTTAAAAGAAAGGTGGTGATATCTGATTCATAAAGTCAGGCTTTAAACTGATCTCCAGCCAGGTTGCCCCCACACTAAACTTGACCCACCCACCCCATTAGCCAATCACCCAATTAAATTAAAGAAAATGAAACTAAATTCCCCAAATCCTTTTTACCTAAATCTATGGTTACATGACTCGCTGAGTCCCAAGTTTATTTCTTCTACATTGCAGAACTGGAGCACCTTTCTTTGCACACTTATGTCCATCCTTGGTGACAGAAGCACTTTCAACTGACTGGGTCTTCACAGGGTCCTGAAGACTTCAGTTGCAGTGTGATGATGTTATCCTGAGAAGCAGAAAAAAAGACTGGTCTACATTGGTGGATCACTGATCTTTACTACCTATGGAGGCGCCACATGGGGTCATATCACAGCAGACTCAGGTCAGTAAAATATGGTGTTAGAGGGTTTTTTCCAATTGTGAATGGGTGGGGGGATAACTTATGGCCAGAGGTGAGCTTTAATAACTCCCTTACAAAACAGCCTTCATTAAAATAAGGTTGCTTGAAGCGTAATTAATGTAAATTTTTTTTTAAGTTTTGGACAGAGTGAAGGGGGTTTAGTTTATCTTAAAAGAGGTGTAGCACTACCCCCTTTAGGGTTGCTTTTGAATTTGGGTCCCCCTATAGTCCTGCACAGCTAGGCATTTAGCATTTTCCACACAAGCTTGCATCAGAATCAGAAATCAGTCCTTGAGCATTTGTTTTGTTGTTTATTGAGGGGATTTAGAATTGTGATAGGGTAAGGGGGGTATAGAATGC